AATCAGCCTCTGTTCTGTACCTTGGGAAAAGGGAAAAATACTGACAGGAAGGCTGGCAGGAAAACAGGAAACTAATTCTGCATTGGTAACAGGGAGGGGGAAATGGGATGGGGGTCGGGGAACCTTCCCAGGATGTGAGCCTTCGGGGTGCACTAGGTTCTCTCCTGGTCTCCCTCTCCACAAAATGGGGCTTCAGGGAAACCCCTCCCCCCGCCCCCCCCCCCCCCCACCTCCAAGCTTTCCCTTCCCAACACACACAGTAGCCAGGCAGCTGGACAGGTCTTTCCTGTACTGTTTTTCTTCATTGGTTTCCCCGGCCCAGTGAAGCAAGTCACAAGTGCACATGCCCAGTTTGGGTGTCCCAGCTGGTACCATCGTGCCCTTGTCCCCTGCCTCTCTGACATGCTCTTGGAAGCCCGCTGGCCTCTCACCAGCCTCTCTCACCTGAGAGTTTATTCAACACATTGGTCCTGTCACAAAGCACCTTCCCTTCTCCAGGACCCCTTCGTCTGAGAAAGGCTCTCAGGACAACTAAGACACGAGGGTGCTGCAGCCTCAGCCATAGCGCCTCCCACCTTCACGACCACCACAGGATGCCACCTCTCCACATCCTCCCTCACCCCTTGCCTTCCACTCACCGTACACACACTCCTTCCAGCAGCATTAGATGGCAGAGCAGGCCGTGCAGGGGATCTGGGGGGAGGGGAGAAAGTGGAGGAGAAATTGTTGATTCATGTTGCTGGAAGGAGTCTTACAGAACATCCAGTCCCATGGTCTCATTGTACAGATGAAGAAAATGAGTCACGGGAGCCGGCCGCTGGCCAAGGTCACAGAGTCAGAGACATGCAGGTCCCCACACTCCCAAGCTAGACAGACTCCTTCTGCTGGACAGGAGGGCCTTAGGGGCCAGAGGATGAATCCCCTTCCACCTGGCCCCTCCTTGGCACCCTTCCAGTGGTGATGGGGGCAAGGTTATCCCCAGGCCAGCCAGAAGCCAGAGGCGCAGTGGGCGGGCAGGTTGGAAATGGGTTTTTGGACATGGACTCCTAGAGGATCAATGTCTAGACACTTCCAGAAGGATCTGGTGCCACCCACCCCCATGTGCTCTAATTACTGCTGCCCACATTTTCAGTTCCCAGCAGGTTCAGTGACAGGCACAATGTGTCAGCTGTCAGGCCTCTCCGGAGAGCTCTGTCAGCTGCCTGAATATTCTCGAACTTTCTCTGAGAAGCTGCCTCATCCACAGTTGGCATAGGCCAGCCAAGGGTGTGGCTAGTGTGGCCAAGGTTTCAGGCACAGTGCCAGGCTGGGAGGCTGGTCTAGGGGCTGCTGCAGAGTGTCCCAGACTTTGAGGGCCCCTCCAATTAAGTAATCCCAGACCCTGCAATGCCCGCCTCCCCTTACTTCCCCTCCCATCCCCTCTACCCTGCCTCGGCTTCTGGGAAATCCCTGGGGGTGGAGTTAGCTGTCCTCATAATCCCAGATAAACTACCCTTGGCAGCTCAGTGACTGGAATGCTACAGCAGATGATTGTCAAAGAACATTTGGGCAGGTGTGCAAGTGGGGGCTGACATCCAGCCCTTGCTTCTCTTACCAAGCCCTGTGCCTGGGTTCAGGGGTACAACCTGCTGGAGGAAGGACATCTTGTCAGGGTTGGAGGGACCCCAGAGAGTCTGGCCCAACACTTCTGTCCTGAGAGGCAACCCTTTTCTGAACAAAGCACCCTGCACCCAGACGCTCACAGCGCTCCCCAGGCTGCCTGGGAAGCCTTTCCCCTGAAGGACAGACAATCAGGAGGCCTGAGTTCCAATACCTCACACCCCCTTCCAGCTTTGTGACCTTGGGCAGTTCTGACCTTCAGTTCCCTCATTTCAATAACGGGAGTCTGATAAGATACCTGGACAAGCTTTAAAGTGCATACAACTGGGTGATTCTCATTAGTCTAAGTCTCAATATGCAAAATTAAAGGCCCACTCTCCTCAATAATGATCAACACTTACTGAGCACCAGGCACTTCACATGCATTACTGCATTTGAGATTTACCACAATCCTGCAAGATAGATGCATTATCAGCCACATTTTGCAGATGGGAAAATGTGGGCTCAGAGAGGTCACCAGGCCAATGAACAGCAGCACCCAAATTCCAGCCCAGCCTGTCTGACCCTAAAACCCAGTCCTCCCACACCACACCACCTCTTACCATGACCCAGAGCCACCCATGTCCCCTCCCTTGTGATTGGCAGAGTCCCTCAAGAACTGGTCCATTGAAGGTAAATATGAGTTCTCTATGCCGCCTCCAGCACACGCTGTGGGCAGAGTGCTGGGGTTGTTACCCCTCGGGTTGCACAACTTCCCCTGGCTGGATCCTCCCGCCTAGTTGCAGGCAAGATGAAGGGAGCTATGAAGTGAGCTTTTGTCTACAAAGTGCCGGCAGCCAGGCAGCCTCCACCCAAAGCGTGGCTGGGCCTGGCAGGACCACACCTGAAAGCATCCATGACTATACCTGACAGCTCCCTCTAGGGTGGGGCACCTACCTGGGCTCCAGTCTGGGCCAAGGTGGGCAGGCAACAACAGATGAGGGCCCTCCCAACTCCTGACCTCATCCTGATTTTATAGAGCTGGGGATGGGTGGGGCTGGGATTGCCAAGGAGTGAAGGCCTAGGGATCCTGGAAGCTGAGACCCTTGTCAAGTAGCCAGTAGCTCCCAACTATGACCCACTGGGCTCGTGAGGTGATCCATCAAGGGAGGTGGGGCAGAGGGCAGGGGTCCTGTCTACCTTGCACACTTGGCCTAAGAGACCCCCAGGTGCTCAGAGGCCGTTCCAGAGGTGACCTCAGATTTGCATGGCCTGGCCCCAGCTCTTTCCTGATGGAGAGCAAGTGGGTAAGAAAGAAAGGCATTCAGGATCTCTCTCTCTTGAAGAGGAAACTGAGGCGCAGAGAGAGCATGACACTTGTTACCCCTAGTTCATTGAGGTTAAGTGTCCTGCCATCTGGCCTCCAGATGTCCCGCGCAGAGCAAGGTCTTCTGTAGGACCGACAGAGTACAGCCTTTGCCCCAGGAGAGGGGCAACAAGCAGAGTGGGTCTCAGGAAGGGAGGTAGAGGGGAACTCCAAGGAAGGAGCCGCTAAGGTTAAGAGCCCTGAGTACTAGAGGCAAGACGCTTACTCTGCTGGTGTCTTACAGGAGACAGCGGGCCAGTCCCTCTCAACCTGTTTCCTCACCTAAAAAGAAGGGATAATAGGATATAAGTTGTGAAAAGGAAGGCTGGACCAGGGTCATGCCTATGAAGGCAGGAAAGAGGGAACGTTAGGATTATGGCAGGAGCCTGGGACACCACCTTCTCCCAGAGGTGGGGGATTGGGGCCTGGATCCCACAGGGGTCAGGCAGAGGCAGGGTTAAGGGGCAGGCCTCGGGCTACAAGCACCATTTAGCAAACTGTACCAGCTAGAGCCCCCTCTTCCTTTGTACTGTAGGAATCAAAAACAAAAGGAGATTTATGATCATCATTTTCGAAAAGGGAACCTGAGGCCTAGAAAGATGAGGGCCCTTGCCCAAAGTCACACAGTACGTCAATGGAAAAGCCCAGACTAGATTCAAAGTTGCTGCATTCCACGTTCCCTGTTCTCAAGGAAAAATACATTGTACAGGGCAAGTGCAGAGCAGACTTTTTGGACACCTTTGACAATTTAATATGAAGTCACTGTCAGCCATGACAGTTATGTAAAGTGCTACATCAGGAATGAGGTAATGGGAACACCCTTAGGTGTTCCAGAAGGGCCCAGAAGGCCCAAAACCACAAGTTAAATGTTTGGAAAAGGATTCCACCAGGACACCAATATGAGTGGGACCTCCACCCCTTGTGGGCTATCAAAACTCAGAACTCCGACCACCTGGCGCTTGAGCCTGGCTGTACTACAGGGTCCTGACTGGAGCCCTGCTGAACTTCTCCACCGGACACGTGCTGCCACTGTAGCAGCCTGGCCTGAGAGGGATGCCTGCCGATCCACCTGCAGGCCCTGCCGCCAGTGACCAGGACTTGGCGCTGAATGCCTTGCTCTGCTCCTGGAAACTCCCCTCTCTGTGTGTAACCTGTGTGGGAGGTCTCCCCTAGTGAACCTAGCATTGTGGAAAGAGGCAAATATGGGTGCATGACTCCTTTCGGTGATGTTCCCTTGCTCACAACATAGACGTAATGTGGAGACTGACAATATCTTCCTTCCCTCTGACTCCCTCTCAGCACTGGACCTGGGGTTTCTCATCCGCGCACGCCCCGCTGCTCCAGGCAGGGGGGAAACAGTCAGACCCACACATGCAACAGGGATAGGTACATACGCGCCTTCCTCCTCCCTCTCTTCAATTCCTGGTAGATAATAACAATAAGTAACAATCATCACATACCAGGCCCTGGGTTAAAGGTCGTGCTTGCAGTAAGTCACTGAATCCTCATACGATATAAGCATTATCATCATCATCATCTCCATTTTCCAGATGGGGAAATGGAAGCACACAGTCTAACTCTCACAAGTTCTTCCAGTTAGTGGCAGAACCAGGATGTGAACTCAGGCAGCCTGGCTCCATGGCCCACGCTCCTAAAAGCCACACCAGGCTGCTCCTTAAGACATATCTCATATACCCAGTGGTTCAAATCTGGCTCTGCCACTTTCTAGTTTTGTGGCCTGGGACAAGCGGCTCAACATCTCTCAGCTTTGTCCACCTGGGCAAAAGAATGGGACTGTCCACCGACAGCAGTCCAATGCGTTAGCGCCCCAGCCTGCGAGTGTCCGGCAGTGGGCACTGCATCAACCTCGGCGCTTCAGTCATTCGTGTTTTTAGAACCAGAGAAGTTTCCAGATGTGGGTAGAGCCTTCCTCGCCCCGCCCCCGCCCCGGTATGCACGGGGAGGAGCTGCCACAACGAGTCATTGCCGTTAATAGAGAACTGAAGCACCTCCTGCTAAAAATATCCGGCTGAAGCCCTTTAAAAGCACGCCTGGCTCCAGCGCCCGACATTCCTCGGAGCCTCAGCGAGACGCGCAGAACCGAGTCAGCATGGCCGAGCGCCGCGTTCCCTTCTCGCTCCTGCGGAGCCCTAGCTGGGACCCTTTCCGCGACTGGTACCCGAGCCACAGCCGCCTCTTCGATCAGGCCTTCGGAATGCCGCGGCTGCCGGAGGAGTGGTCGCAGTTGTTCAGCCACAGCGGCTGGCCGGGCTACGTGCGCCCGCTGCCCGCTGCCGGCGAGAGCCCCAGGGTAGTGGCCGCGCCCGTCTACAGCCGCGCGCTCAACCGGCAACTCAGCAGCGGCATCTCGGAGATCCAGCACACGGCCGACCGCTGGCGGGTGTCCCTGGACGTCAACCACTTCGCCCCCGAGGAGCTGACGGTCAAGACCAAGGATGGTGTGGTGGAGATCACTGGTGAGCCCCCCATTCCCACCCCGGCCCTGCGGGGATGAAGCTGGCAGGGCGGGAAGCCTGGCCCTGACCCCGGCCTGGGCCCCTTTCTCCCGAAGAGAGGGTGCGGATAGTTCCTAAGGGACCTTTCGGTCTTAAAAAACTATTAGAGGAAGAATCTATTAGGGGAAGAATCGCCCTTCCAGCGGAGATCGCTCCCCTAGCCACTCCCTGCAAATAACCAGGTTCCCCAGAGCCGTTCCTGCCCAACCCCGGTCGTGGAGGGGGTGTGTGCGCCAGGCAGACAAACTTTGCAGAAACTTGTGAGGACCTGGGACAGCCTGGGGCCCCCAAATCCCTCCACCAGTCTGGGTCGGCCATGAGTCCAGGCCGCCAGGTGGGGCGTGTTTGTCTGTAGGCTGGCCTGAGAGGCGGCCCCTCGTCACACTCTCTGACCTCCTCCCCCTTTCCAGGCAAGCACGAAGAGAGACAGGATGAGCATGGATTCATTTCCCGGTGCTTCACGCGAAAATACACGTGAGTCGTGGGCCAGATGGTGGGGGGTGGGAGGAGGGTGCAGTGACCTAACTGTGTGAGACTCTTGTCCTCTCTCTCTCTGCATGTCCAGGCTGCCTCCTGGTGTGGACCCCACCCTGGTGTCCTCTTCCCTGTCCCCTGAGGGCACGCTCACCGTGGAGGCTCCGATGCCCAAGCCAGCCAGCCAGTCAGCAGAGATCACCATCCCTGTCACCTTCGAAGCTCGTGCCCAGCTTGGGGGCCCAGAAGCTGGGAAGTCCGATTAGCCTGGAGCCAAGTAAAGGCCTTAGACCTGCTTCAGACCCTCCCATTAGCAATCACTGGCCATCCCTACCTGTCAGCCTGTATGCTCTTTTGATATGTTTATGTTCTGTTTTTCTCAAATAAAGTTCAAAGAAATTGCATACGACTGCCTCAGGTTCTGGTGTGTGTCGAGGCCTAGGAGTTGGTGCCATTTGCTGGCTCACAGGTTCCTCAGATTTGCTGAGGGCCTGCTGTGGGCCAAGCCCCATGGCGGGCCCTGTGAGTACAGTGGTATCCATCACAGGGCACAGCCCTGCCCTCCAGTCCAGTGTCCACTGAGAGAGAAGTAATGATTATAACCAGCAATCAAAACCCCAACAGCCAAGGAAACCAGGAGAGGCTCCTGGCCCAGGCTTGGGTTCTCAGGGACACCTAGTCTGGGGTCAGGTGGAAGGGGACAGCACGGCACGGGGAGGGGAGCTTCTGGGAGCTCAGAGTCTATTACTGACTTCCTCATAACTTTGTCATCCTCCTAGAGAGAGACAGGACCACATATGGGAGGTGTGGTGACTTTCTGAGGGGAGGAGGGTCTAGTCAAAGGACCCCTCCCCGCTCCCCCCATGCTTATGCATGACGATGGGCCCTGGGCTTTCCAGCCTGAGGGTGGCGTCCAGAAAGTTAGACCTAGGTTCCCAGGAAGAGTGGCAAAGACCCTGACAGGGAGGGTCGCGCCACGAGGTCCTCCCCTGACTGGGTCAGGCAGGAACAGTCACACCCACCTCGGCCTCTCCTTTGTCTGCCCTTGTCTAACCCACCAGCCTCTTACCTGGCCCAAGGAGAGTTTGGAGCGGGGGCATTGGAGCCGTGTCTCAGGTCCTCAAGAGTTTGAGACCACACACTGTCTCCACAGACAAGGTGCCTGGGGCTGTGGCAAGATAGATACTCCTGCATTCTTTTCTAAGCCCACAGCCCTGCCTCCCCAGGGTGCGCCACCCCTGATGCTGCCCAGCTTCCTTGTGTCCCCTCTCTGATGCAGGCTCCCTGCTGGGATACCGCGATATGGAGCAGGAATAAAGCCAAAGCAGGTGTCTGCCCTCGGAGGCCTCGCCAGACCTGGAGGGAAGCCAACAGGGAAATAAACACATGGACCAACGATTGTACTGGCCAAGCTGGCAGCGCAGGTCTGGGTCTGAACCCACCCTCCCACTTTTCACTCATTTCCTAAGCTCCAGTCTCCTAAATCTGCCGTCCTCCATCCAGACACATCCCCGCCCCCCCGCACCTCAGGTGTATCCTGGACATCTCCAGGCTCCCATGGCCGCAACCCAGAGTCAGCCTGTCTAGTTCTCGCCCTTGCTCTGATCACCAGCAACTTTGTGGCTGGCAATAGGATGGCCCTGGCCTCCAGAGGTGTGGCTTCACCCTCCCACCTTGTCAGAGCTGTAACAAGGGCACCGCCTCCGCAGCCAGTGCCCTTGAAGTGTGGGAAAGCTGATGCCAAGCCTTTGACAAGATAATCCTCGCATCAGCCCTAGGAAGAGGTCTGGTTAGTCCTGCTTAACTGGGCACACTTGAGCTTCAAAGAAGTGAAGAAACTTGCCCTAGTCCACACCGCTGGTCCTGGAGGGGCAAGGGACATCTGTGCGGCCACAGGCACAGGGCGGGGGGCAGGTCAGCTGAGACGGGAAGGCTGGGGGACTGGGGTTCCACTGCTTAAAGCGCTGCAAATGAGGTTTGGTGGGACCTCAGGAAGAGGAGGACAGGGATGCAATTGAGCCCAGGGACCACACGGCTGCTCAAGGGAGCCAGGGTGCAAAATGGCCTGGAGAGAGCTTCTAGGCGTCTCAGGCCCAGAGTCCCGAGCCATGGTCTGGGGCAGGTAGGGGTCAGCGCCTGGGGTGCCGTCAGTGCTGTAGAAGCGGGGTCCGAGGGCAGCAGCTTTGAAGTCCCTAGGGTTCAGGCCATCATCTGGCAAACAGCTGGGACACAGGCAAGGTGGGAGGGAAGGAATTCACTCCCTGCAAAGGAAACAGGCCCCAGTCTCCATGGGAAACTAATGTAAGAAAGGAGGAAACAGGCAGAGGTCCTCTCGTAGCCGGCCTGGGCTACATGGGGGCGGGAGTGGGGGAGCAGACAGGCAGAGGCGGAGCGGGTCGAGGGGCGATGGCCCCGCGCCCAGAGCTCAGCTCGGAGGATGTGGAATCTGAGGCAGCACCTGTGGGCAGAGTGGTCAGGGCTGGCAGGCTCAGGTCTGGGGTCTCCATTGAGAAGGGGTGGCACCGGGCTTTGGGATACCTGGTGAGTCCCTGCCCTGCTGCTGTGACACAGGAGCAGTTCCAAACCTCTCCAAGCATTTCCCTGATTTTCAATGGGTTCTTCTCTAAAGGCCTCTGATGTCCTTCAAGTCTGCAGATTCAGATATTGGCCTTGATTTGATGAATGCTAGCAACTGGGCCCCTCTGCTCAGCTGAAGGGGTCTGAGGGCAGTGCTCCACGCTCCCGGCTGATGAGGGAGGCTCCCTCGAGGACCTCAAGTTCCTGTGGCTGCTGGTCACCCCGGCTGGTGCTGGCTCTCCCAGAGATCTGCAGAGCACACAAGGCTCCCTCAGTTCCAGACTGATTCCCAGGTCTCTCCCAGGGAGGGGAGTTGTGAAATCTGCCCTCCCTATTGGCACCGCTTCTGGCCCAGCACTCAGCCAGTCAGTCCAAGTCCCTGCTCTCGAAGGGACAAGTGAAGGAAAGAGCTCAGTGACAAGCAGCATTATGCATCAGAGAGGGGCTAGGGCATGCTGCAGTCTTAATGGAGTGGGGAAAAGGGATTTCCAGAAGTGACCCTGGTGTGATAGCCAAGGGGGAATAGCAGAGGCGAGGGCTGGAAGGCTGGCATTTTCAGGCTGGAGAAGCAGCAGCAAGTGAAGGGAGAGAGAGAGGACAAATGAGGGAGGGCGGTGGGGCCCTGTCTCGGAGGGCACTGAAGGTCATGCGTTGGAGGCTACGGCACCAGCAAAGGGTTTAAGCATCTCTGCTTTAGAAACAGGTTCCATCCCTGGCTGGTGTGGCTCAGTGGATTGGGCACTGGGCTGTGAATCAAAGGGTCGCCGGTTCGATTCCCAGTCAGGGCACGTGCCTGGGTTGCGGCCAGTAGGGAGCACTAGGGAGCACTCGGGAGATGATCACACATTAATGTTTCTCACCTTCTCTTTCTCCCTCCCCTTCTCTAAAAATAAAATCTTATGAAAAGAAACAGGTTCCATATCTTAAAGAAAAGCGATTGGTAGGAGCCAGCCAAGAGGCGGGGGCGATGTGCTGCTGAGATGTAGGGGACATGGGTCCTGCCAGGGAGAGGGGGAACCCGGGCTCTCCCGGGGAGAGGAACGGGAACCAGGTGCCTGATGCAGCAGCGGCACCAGGCTCTGCAGTGTGTGGTGACAGATGGGAAGTGGCGGAATGGGGAGGGCGTGGGGGACGGTGGGGATCTGCCAAGGCTGTGGCTCATGACCTGGGGCTTGCTGAGCTCTTTGTCTCTGTGAGGTCGAGCAGACCCCAGCCCTTGGCTGCTGGGTGAGAGAATTGTTTCCAGATACCATCATTTTCCCTGCTACAGAATCAGCCTAGGTTTTGCCAGCTGCAGGCTGCTCTGTGGAGAGGGCACAGTGGGAGGCAAAAGTTGCCAAGAGGTCCCCAGTGCTGGGTCCAAGGAGTGTGGCCAGAGAATCTTTGTGGTGGGGGAGGGGCAACCAAAGGAATAAAGGAGAGAAGGATCAGGAGTGGGGCCCTTGGCCTGGCACTGGACACTGGGTTAACAGAGACCCCAGACTCTTTGGTTTTCTGGAAGCCACCCAAGTTCTACCCTACCCTACCCTACCCTACCCTGGCAGAGCCCAGGGCAGAGCAGGAATCAAGCTGATCAGGGTTCTATCTGCTGGTCTTACACTGGACTCCCTGCAGCCCACCCACACTTCCACATGCACACAGTGGGGACCGGAGGTTTGGGACAACCCCCCCAGAGCTCAGAACCTGGCCCCAGGTCCAGGTACACAGAGCACCAAGGAGCTGCCAGCCCAGAACCAAAGCTGGAAGGGAGAGGGAGGAGGCTGCATGTGTGAGGGCAACTGGGCAAGCCTGGGCTGGTCTTAGCCAGATTTGGGCGCTAGGTGAAATGGGGGTTAAATGTGTACTGTCTGTCCATCAACCAAGGTCCCTGTGTGCCAGCCCTAGGGAGCAGAGGGTCCCCTGGGGAGACCCACCAGTAAGCAGGAACTCATCCCATGCCTGGTGCCATCCTCTTAGTCAAGGCTCTGGGTTCTCCACCTCTTCCTCCACCTGGCCAGGTAACTTGAGACTTCACTGTATATATATAATCCTGCCTCTCAAGGATGAACCACATCCTCACGGGCTTCTTATTTGATAGCTCTACCAACTGCTAGCTGTGCTGGGAGAGCTGGTAGCATGAAACGTGCCAGGGATCCCAGAGTTAGCTAGGAAGAGACAGGTCCAGATCAACAGCAGAATCGCTGGATGACCTCAAGTAGGAGCACGGAGGTAGGAGAGCCTCAGTGAGCAATCTGCTACCTCCCTCTCCTCTGTGGGGCAGACTGAGGGTCAGGGCTCCCTACTCCCTGTCCAGAGAGAAAAGGTCATATCTGGACCTCCTGGGGAAAACTGCCCAGCCATGCGAGGGGTCCCTGCAGCATAACGCCCCCCTCCCACCCTTCCTTCCAGCCTTGCTCACCTACCTGTCTGGTATTCCACCCTGCCCAGCCTCAGGTGGCAGTGGTTGAATCAAGATGCAGCACTGGATGTTCTGCCTCAGTAGAAGGAGGTTACACCCAGCCCCTGGGTCAACAGGGCAGAACCTGAACCTGCCAGGAGGGCTTGGACTAAATAATGGATAGAAGGGGCAGGAGCAGATCTGTGTTTAGGAGACACGAACTGCGATTCAGCCCTGCTCTGAGCTCAGTTTCCATTTTAAGGGATCTGGGTGGCATCTGAGACCCCTCCTGCCCCGACAGTGTGGGGCAGAACAGGAATCAAGGGGGAATCATGAAGCCTGGGGGCTGCCCAGGGTCGGTCCCCTAACAATGGTAGGAAGGCCAAAGTCCCAGGGATACCCAAGGAGTTAAGGATAGGTCTCTGCAGGACCAAGAAGGGCCATTCAT